AGCATAAATTGTTTCCAAAAATGTATTGTTCCCACCATGAGTAATGACCAAATCAACAACCTCAAGAATACCTATTTGATTGACATAATTTTCACCCCACATGTTTGGTCCCAATTCAAACTGATCTCCTTTAGGACCTTTAGAGACGATGAAACGATGAGGACTTTTTGACAAGATTTTAACGAAACTTTTCATCAAATCTATTTGAATTGACCCTAATGAACCCAATGAAAAGTAAATCAATTTTCCTGGCAAATGCTTCAATGATTCAGGGATAATAAATGGTTCCACATTATCTGGTTCGCGAATGGCACAATCTAGTCGAATCCATTTATCAGACCTTATTGGGCCAATTTCATGGTAATCTAAAAGTTCGGGGTAATGATAAATACCAAGTTGTTCAGGTTCAGCATTAAACCAATTCTCGATTCTTGTATCTTGAACCGCAGGCAAAGGTGTTCCATTAAATCTCCACCAAGAATATAAATTTTCACGAATAGCTCTTAAAGCTACTCCACTCAGTTCTCGAAATTTATCCCACTTTTCAGTGTCTTTTTCCTTCACTGAAAAACCTGACCATGGTGGAGGTCCATTGGGATAGAGAGGAAGTGGGTTCATTGAGTGAATCAATGCACAAGGAAAAGACGCTCGATAAAAAGCTGGTTGCCTCATAACAAAATCACCGATAAACAAGTCGAAGTTATTTGCATTTTCTTTGAATATAGCTTCTAATGCAAGGCTGTTTCGTTCAAATACATTAACAATTTCGCCAAAATTTTCGATATCTTCTGGTGTCCAGTCTTTAAAGATTGATAATGCATCAACACGGAATTTGTGTAAATGTCCATCGTGCCATTCAACCGCTGAGGCAGGTCGAACATTCTCGAAGAGTTTTGCATCAAAAGGAATGAACTTGAAGTTTCGTTTATCGGCAAGCTTCTTGTGGTAAGAGTGATGAGCAAATGTTATTTGATGTCCATATGAAGCAAGGATCTCACCCAATGCCAATGTGCAGTTGATGTGTCCGAATCTATTGAACAAGTGAATGGATTAAAATTAATTGAATAAAATATCAGTTATAAAGCTAATAATTATGAATATTGAATTTGAAAAAATGAGTTACTTACGCGTCGATACTTGACATGAGAATACGATATTTTGTTTTACTGACCATTTCTAGTTCAATGCAATAAAAAGTAGTGAAATATTATAATAATAAGTGTAAATATCAAATTTTCAAGTTTGAATGTTTCGCCTATTCTGAGTGACATATTTATATACTCACTCAGAGTTATCGTTGTCTGATCATCTCTGATCGTATAATCTTGAATATAATTTAATCTCTGGTTAAGACATGTAAATACTCTTGCAGGAGTGAATGAATTTTCTGATTAACATCCGAATCATCCTTTCAAATCATGGTATCATAAGTTTGTCGCGATCAAATGATCGCATGACTTGTCTATTGTCTTAATAAATAAAAGCAAATATAAATAGTAATAATTTTAGGATAAAGTTGAGATAAAATGTTACCGAGATTAATGCCTGAATAAACAGCTGAATCAGTCTGTAATAACCGCAATAATTATGTAAGTTTCAGAGTTTATCAAGATGTCTTCAGAATGAGTACACGAAACGAGCACTCAAATGCTCACTCTACGTTTCCATGTAAGTTGGTTATCATCAGAAACAAATGAGATACCAGACAAATTACTCAAATAAATCAATTCAATTACACCCCTGATTAGAGATTGTAAATCTAGACGTTAAATAATATTACATGTAAAGAAGTCGGAAAACTTTTATTAGGGTTACCAGGTTGTTACGAAAAAACAGGCCAAAATTGAATTTCTTTCACATTTATACTCTGTTTGTTTGTAGGGACATTAGACATAAACTGAATCCATTTATCGAGTCGCGTTGAATCGAGGGTAAGTTGAAACTTCGATCACCTTTAATACAGTTGTGTGACCAGAATTAATTTTGTTGATGTAACTTTCTATGGTAAACCAAAAAACGTACTTGTTTTGAGAAATAAAACTTTTCTTTTTCTGTAAAACGGATAAGTTCGAATTTTAGTTAAACTGATCTTATTCTATGATCGCGAGAGTTAGCAAGCCCAAACTTATTACTTGGCCAGAGAAATTGTTGCTTCACACCCTGGGTTCAATACTTTTTTACATGCATCAACAGTTCACTTGGTTTTGGCCATTGATGTTAAAACTTTGATCCTCGATATTTCGAGATTGGTGATACCTAAAGTCATTATTCTTTCACCAATTTAATTCTTTATTGATTAATAACTCAATTCAATGTAATAAATTTTCATTTGTCCACTTGGGTCATCATTTTTGGGCTTTAAATGGACAAGAAACAACTTATTTAACAAAATAAACTCATATTAGCTCATATATTGGTGAATAAAGCAATTTTCTGGTTTAACTTGCAAATGAATTGCAAAGAGTGTTGCCAGAGACTCGAATATTTGAGTAAAGAGTTTAGACTTGGTGGGTTTTGTAGAAAAATGCAAACTGAGTCCATTAGTGCTATCAAATAATTCTTCCGGTAGACAGTTTTCGAGAAAATTGAGGTCAAAGTTGAAACTTTGATTGCCTTTTGTTCAGCTATGCAAACAGCTTTTTTCATAAAACTCATTTCCCAGGGCTAGATTTTTATGGCAAATCAGAAAATGCACTTATTTTTAGAAATAAAGTTTTATGTTCAAAATAAAACACATAAGTTCGATTTTTACTTAAACCGATTTATCTCTGTGACCGTATCAGTTAGCGAGCTGAAACTTGTTATTCGTCGTTAAAAATTGTTGGGTCACATCATAAGACAAATGATTTCTGCAATTTATCAACCGTTCCTTAGATTTCGGCCATTTACCTAAAAACTTTGGACCTCAATAGTTCGACGATGGTATCATCTACAATCGTCAATCATTGACCAAGCATTAGTATTTGATATAAGCTATAACATGATATGATCGAAAACCGAAGAAATTTCATTCTATTCATTTAATAATGAATGTTTTTCTAACACATGATAAGA